TATGCCGGTTTTGCAGAACGGAATTTCGCCTGACTTTGGCATACGATAAATGTACTTTTTGAAAATGGTTAAAGGTCTATATTTTCTTGCCTCGGAAAATTGCAATTTAGGCCTAAATGCAACCAGTCCTTTATGGAGTTGAGTTATCCGCCCTTTATCTGTCCACATTTTTGCCGGTATTACTACAGTACTCGGCCATTAATACACCCTCATTTGTACTTGTTATGTAATCAACTGTTTTTTGGCTTTCCAATGGTTACTTCTCAACCAGAATACAAATTTAGGGGCCCACGAAATAAAGTTTATCATCTCATATCATTTCTTTTTCGTATTTTATACCGCAGTTTATATCCCTCTTTGTGATTCAAGATAATACCCTAATATCATTCAAAGTACTTCCTAGTTCTGTAATGATTAAAACAAAATATAAGTATGATTACCTGGGGGGGGGCGTTGCATTTAAATTAAAATTTTTTGACGGTTTTTTAGACACTTCGTTTAATATAGCAAAAATACTTTAAGGATACAGGTTGTGTGTGTAGGCATGGTGAATTTAATAACTTCGTTAGTATTTCCTCTCAGGGCAAATTTTCGGCATTATTTATGAGCAGTAGATTTTTACTTTCCGTGCACAACGCTAAAGCAGACAGAGAAAAATGTAGACACTGCAAGTCGCATTTCTTTGTTCCCATTTTTGAACGCCTTTACTGCTAGTGAAGCCATAACTGCAAATTATGATCTACCGCTCCCAGTTCACAGATGTTAATTCTGGTAAAAATATTTAAATCGGATTTTAGGAAAGTACGTTAGATACTGACGTAGTAACTTTGGCGGTTGATACAAATTCTGATCAACTGCATTAATAATTTTAGCAAAAGTGCGTATGTTCATGGCAACTGTCCACTTATACCTGAAGGACATTGATAAATTGAAAGGGATAAAAATTTTTGCGCGGTTTCATTAACCTCCTGAATATAACGAAGTTTGGTAGAGAATCACGTGCTTAGGTTTATTGGCAAGGTGAAATAAAAGCTTCATTTCCACCCAACTGTTACTGTGAAGGAGAAGTGGTCCGTTTTCGACATTGTTAGTGAAAAATGACAATGATTGGCCCCGAATCAATCCGAGTTAGAGATTCTTTATCTTTATCACCACTTTAAATTGTTAAAATTTTGCACAAAGATGACAAGCAAAAACTTTTTAAAGTAGTTGAGAAAGGTAATTTTTCACAATGACAGAGACTGACCTTCCACAAATTAGCAATGACATTTAAAGGGTTTTTTCACATCTACCAACTCTCGCTCCATTATCACATTTTCAAGTTTATGTAGTGTACACTGAGGCGAAAATAGAGGCTTTTCAACTGTGATTGCCGTCAAACACCATTTAAACGATTCTTTCAATGACAGCACCATTTGCAAAAAGTGATCAAAAAAGCTTAGAACAAAAAATAGGAAATTGTTGCAATTATGTTGGATAAAAGTATGTGTCAATTTTAATATGTGAGATTTCTTGTTGTTACCAAAAAATTCCTTCTTTTGAGATCACATATATTCCTAAAATATAGCATTTTATTTATGGGCACTAGGAGCATTTGCAACTGTACCTTATACACATCATATTATTACAATTAATTTTAACATTTTAAAACTATTTTAAAATATTGTCAATATAGCTTTAATTAGTATCATTTTTATAACAAATTAGAATTATTGGTATTATTATATCTAATCACATGGAAATGTATGAAAATAAAATAGGGGTATTAGAAGGAGCTACAGGAATAGGCGAAAGGAATTATTATCAAGTAAAAATTCTTACCAATTAATTGTTTAAAATATTTCCTTACCTTCTTAAAATCAATTAACATTTAATGATGAAGAACAGAGCAACCGGTATATACAATTGTGGCTTCTCATTTAGTTTGACTAATGAACCTGTTATGAATATAATAAACTCGACCCTACTTTACAATTATTACTTCAGGTTATAATTAACAATAAAATATATGGACTCCTTCAAGCATCAACTTTGTTGAAATTCACCTCAATTTTATACTTTAGTATTACAAATGTAATAAGTGTCCGCCCTATTTTTTTCATTTCCATTAAAAGGCCAATTTAAACCACCAAAAAATACTGTATGGGAGGGTGAACAAAGTTCTTCGAAATTTACCCTTGGTATAATTCTAGTTTAAGGAGCTTTAATCGAACAATTAAGCGTCTAATTAATTTTTGTGCATTAGCGATAAAAACGCCATTAGAGAATTAGTAAATTGTTTCAAGAATTATTGGAATAGAAGAGATTTACGAAAGGAGTGTGAAGTTTGTTTTTTTCCTTAATTTCAGTTTTGTCAATCAATCTTCAGACCCATTTATAGCGTGTTAAAAGAAGGATACAATTTTGTAATTCTCTATACCATTTAGTTACCGTTGTGTCATGCTGAAAAACTGAGTTATTTTAGGTGCGGCAATCAATCTCAATGCAAAATCCAGTAAAAAAAGAAGTAAAACCCTAATTATTCTATTCACTGACAAATAGTAAAAACAAAATTGGATTTTTATGACTTGTATTTTTAATTTCCTTGCCAATTTTTTAATATTAATGTATTGTTTGCAAAGGGAGACATTAATATAAAATCAAAATACTTTTACTTGCAAAAGAACTGAGAACGCTGAATGGTTTCATTTAATATCTAGAAATAATGACAAAAAAATTTGCACAATACTTTTATGTAAATAATTATTACTGCGGACTGTGAAATAAAATTAAAATAATTTCAAATGACAAAATAATAGTTGGGGAACTCCTAGAATGTGTGTCATGTTACCTAAACTATAAGCCGGTCGTTTTAAATTCGCTAAATTTAGAATGGATTCATTTTAGAGAAACTTAGAGGTGATATCGGTCTTTTTATCCTCAGATAAATAAGCGAAATTTGGCACCGAATTCGGTGTTATCATTCACATACACTATTTTCTAACCTCTCAAGTAAATCCATGCAAAATTATTCAAAACATTTTTTCATTAAAATTATTGGGGTTTGCAGTTTACCATGTATGTATGGGCTTAACAATAATAAAAGTAAATTTATTGTTGAGATATGCATTCTAACTTAATTTGCGCACTTGAAATTTATAAAATTCAAGGATATGCTTTATTTGGCCAAGAGAGGTGATGCAATGACTAATATATATTTATTTAAGATTTGTCGGTGGAATCTAAACAAAAACGTTTAAAATTGAATGTTCTCAACAATAATACCAACTTCACCAAGTCAACGTGAATTTAAAGTTGACTCAGGGAATAAAGATTAAATTTTATCAAAATTGGCAAATGGGATATATAATAAAGCTTTTCTATTATGCGAATTATTTATAAAATCCCTAATTTTGTTTAATCAACTGGCTTCCTCTTTAGAAAATTGCGATATCAAATAGCAATTTAAATAAATCAAAGAGAATGCCAATAAATTGAAAAAGTAGTTAATTTGGGAAATGATGCTTGATAAGATTTTAATTCCTATTTATAGGTGTTTGTTAAAAGATGATAACGTATTTATTCTCAGTCATTTAAAATTGCCATATCATTACTTTGCGAGTGAAAGAATTTCCGTTCATATCTGTTAATTGGCTCAATTAGTTAAAAATGCATTTCTCGATGCAGTAAATAAATGTACTGCGAATGCAGAAAAATGTTTGCTTTAAAATAGAATTTTATTTGTTTCTTAAATGTAATTCAAATTTTCACAGGCTTGTAAATCCACATTAATTTAACGAACTATATTATTTGCCATTTGTTTTAAGCGGTTATGATTTACTTTATCTTTGTTTAAATTTTAGCTTTAAATGAGTCTGCAAGAAAGAGGCTGTGTGAGGGGTTGTTTGGGCAAAAACTTATAAATTCGTATCCTCCAATCGGCATGAAATTCCCAAGTACTTCGAATTGTAAAAAAGCAACGAAGCATTTTTTCAGAGTTTCATTAAGAAGAAAAATTCCAAATTTTATTGGAGACATATGTTCAAATATGACACCTCGTAAGTATACGTCGGTTTGATCGAATAGTATAAAGTCTAGTGTCATTATTATCGCTTTTAAACCTAAAAAGTAGCTACGTATAAAGAATGGTTCAATGAGATGTTTTCCAAAAAAGATCGCAAGTCTAATTCCTACCGCATGTGCACTTTGAAAGCGTTAATTAGATGTTACCTTAATAAATAGACGCGCGAATCATTATAAATTTTCGTTTCAAATTCAATCATTTGACCTAAAATAACTTCTTAATCAACGTTAATAAGTGCTAGATATAGGAGAAGGGGGGATTAATTAGTTGGATCCACTAACGAAAATATCCACCAAATTCAAATCCATTTACTTGTCTGCTAACTTATTTACAGGATAAATGATGTAAAATTTGGTATTAAGATAATTGGCCTACTAATTAGAAAAGCACTTGCTAATACCGACGTATCAATCTATTTCTTTTTAATTCCAAGTGCACGGTGACTGAACAGTACATTATAATTAAGTATCAAACTAGGATCAAGATGATTACAATTTAAAGTTCGAGCGATTGGGAGGGGTAATAAGAATATGTTCGACTTCCAGCAATTAATCTGCTATAACTTTTTTGTGATCTACTTAATCAATCAAAAAGTAATAGCGAATAAATATAAAGGTATATTTTTTAGTTTGGAAATTAAATTGGCTGGATAACTATAAAATATTGAGTTTTAAACCTGAAATTAAATTAGGCTAGAAGGGATTATGGCTTTTCAAACTACAGGCCTTTCTTTCCCAAATTAATCAATAATCGTTGAAGGACTATTTTTTATATGATTTTATAAATATATTTCTTGTTTCTCGTATTAAGTGGTTGAAAATGTATTAAAAATGAAAGAAAGTCGTTTGAGTGTTCGAAAATTAACAAGTAAAACTTCCTTCTGGAAGGATTATAACAAAAAATATAGATAAATAAGTGCATGATTCGTTTTGCTACCTTATAATAAACTATTTATCCACATGGAAACCTAATTTAAAGAAATAAATGATTTCCTTACCGGTACGATTGTGACGGTTGCAGAGGAATCACTCGAATTCTCCTCCTCCTCCTCGTCCTCTATGTGTTGTCTTTCAGCATATTCCCTTTTCTGGTTCTTCTGTTCTGTCATTAAACTTGATGCCTCATTAGTAACTAAGTCATCCTCCTTGACTTCCTCTTTGAATCTAAGTCTACGCTCTCGCCTTCTCAAATCATGATCGTAATCTGGTGGCTCAATAACCTCCTCTTCAAATCGTACTCGAATTGAAGAGAGTGTAGTGGGAGGTGGTGGAGGAGAAGCTTTAGGGGGTTCTGATGTCGAAATTCTCTCCCCTTTACGTCGCGTACCACGACAGCAGCACCAACATCGCCGTGATTGATGATAATGTTCGTTGTTTTGTGGAGGAGAATCCGTTGTAGCCGAGTTTCCACAGCAGCATCGACAGCAAGGACAACATCCATGGCAATATTTTATGAAAAACGTCGAGACAGATTTGTACAGGCGTTGAGGATTTTGTTGTTTTTGCGTACGCCCAGTTTCAGTTTTGATATTTAGGGAAGTGGAGGAAGAAGAGAAAGAATTTTGAGATTTAGAAGTGCTTCTAGAGGCGTGAAAAATCTTACGAAATCCACTGGAAAGAGTTCTACTCTTTCGGTACCCTCCCGTGTCATGACTATGGTAAATCTCTTGACTTGAACTCCTCTTCATCAGCAAAATTCAAAGATTACTTCTCCTTCTCCTTCAAATGAAGTGAAGTTACTTTTGAATTAGCTCTTTATGTTCGTGGCATGCGTGCCATTGGGATTAGCACTTAACCAATGAGGGAACGTCTAATACTAACAAATCAAATTAAGCGTGCATGGCTATTTGTGACCAGCCGATTGGAATGGGCGGGAAAATAGGATTTGGGTACGGAAAGTCAGATGACCTCATTGAGGCCGATTGCACTTAAAATAACTCTATGACCTCATTTAATGACTATGAACACACGTCATATTATGATCACTTTACCAGTGCTTGCGTTATTTTGATTTCGCCCACTTCGCTAATTGCCAAATTAAGTTGTTAACATGTGCATGAATGTAAAAATAAATCAAAAAAATCGGAAATTAGTTTTGGATAAAAATTGTCGATTACTTTCTATCTTTGACGCTTAGTCAAGGTTAGGACTATAGATAGAGTGTGTTCAATGTAAACATTCATGAACACTTAGAGCACGATTGATGCTCTCGTAAGCTCATTCCTCATAAACTAAAATTTCGGTTATTGGACTTCCGAACCCACACTTGGATAGGTAGAACCACTATTAAGGAATCCATACCTGCTACCATTAGTCAAAGAATCGGTCGATCATGTATTTCATTTTACAGCAAGGAGCCGTCGTTTAGGCAATATGGCTTCTTTCATACTCTCGATGGAATCTAGATCTTTGCAAATTTCGAAAAAGTACTCAACTAAACAATGTATGAGAGCAAATACACATTCTAACTTTTGTTCCTTTAAATTATTCTCCATAGTTAGCTAAAAGCACCCACTTTCTTATTAGTTTTTTTTCAATATCCCAGTATATTTTATCAACTTTCATGAACTACATCAGTACAATAACGTGGATATCATGCTTATTTACTGGCCGAAACAACCGTAACACCGAGACAACTCATTTTTGGTTTTCCATCGTCATGAAATTCCACTACCAGGGTTTTTCGAAAGTTCGCCCACCCGAACAAGCTCCCGTGTGCTTATTTTATTTTGTTCGCTAAATCGGCATTTCAGGGGTCATTCGTGGTTATTCATAATGAAGGCATATTTCATTGTAATAATGGGGCATGTTATGGGTTATTTTACTTTAAACGACCTTTTGTGTTTTTCTCCCGGTCAGTATTGAAAGGTATTTGATCGATCTCATCTGATGACTTTGTCTGTTCGGTCACGTTTTCTGCGCCACTGCAAGTAGGTTGGTCTTCTGCTTGAAAGAAATAAAGGGCTTTAATTCAAGTTCCGATTAATAAATCACCAAGTTACTAGCTCATAATTACTTCTTTTAACATTACATTGTCCTTAAATGACTTGCAATTATTGCCCGGCTAAATGCTTTATTAGAGATATGCAAACGATAAAGTTAGATGAGAACAGTAATGTCCTTTCGAATTTATACAAAGTTTCCTGTTCATGAGATTAAAAAAACTTGATTTCCACACTATTTAAAGGAGAAAATGGGATATATATATATATACACGCAGCTTGATGGTAAACTGGGAAAGTTCATTTCAAGTTCAAGTACGCGTCAAATTATCGGTACTGCGTGAAGTTCAAAAAGCAGCCAAGTGTGTTCTAAAACAGTGACGGCTTAGGAGACGGTGATTGCCATGAAATCTCATTCATAACTCAGGGCTACAGATTACTTCATAGTCACCAGAGTGGAGTGAATACAAGCTTTCTATGACTTATGACTTAAATTTCATATATAAATATTTGTTTTTCATCACCCAAAAAATCGATTTTTGTGTGTGTGTGTGTGTGTGTGTGTGATTTAGCTATCCTAACTTAGCATACATTCAGTGGAATTTCACATATTTTTCATCTCTATTTATCATCTCAGAAGATTATCAATAATCAATTAATAATAGAATAGCCGTTTATTACCAAATATATCATTATAAGGAATATCTATTGATATGTTTAAACAAAATAATGCTTAGGTGAATGACTTTTGTTTCTTAGTTATTTGATTTACAAATAATAAAAAGCTAAGTAAGATCAAGTTTTTTTCACAGGCGGTTTTATCGAGAAAAATAAATGGCCTGAACATTAATCTCACTGCAATTCTATATCAACCGAAATGGAGCTTTTTATGTCCGGTTGGTCTCTTCTTGGAACAGATGTTTCATTTGATTTATTCCGCAGTTGTAAAGCAAATAAGTGAGGCAGAGCGATAAAATTTTGTTTCCCAAGTCGTGATCAACGCACACCAGTTCACAGAAACCGAATTTAATATTTATCACATTGATATAGCTATTCGCTCTATACTTGAAGAAAAAACCGTTTAAAACAGATAGATTTGGGCCTGCACCACTCACAGTTTACAAAACGAGCAATTTAAGAGGCACTTGAAATTAATTTTTCCTCTTTTTATTTATTAGACAGTTTTTGTTTTAAACTAAGTTTCAGTTAACACTATTCCCAAAAATATTTTCTTTGCAAATGGAAATGAAGCTTGTCGTTGTAATTGCACTCGCATCAACTACTGTATTAGCAATAATAATCATCATCGATGAAGTAAATTTTTTCTTGTTTTTACCAACTCTGTTTTTGTTCAAATTTCTGCCGATGCATATTGATTAATCTAAATAAGTATGTAAGGCTTAATATTAAGAATAGTTGTTTATTTGTAAATAAGTGAATTCCAACTTACCATTGCTTTCAATAAAGCCATCAATAGCGATAAGGTGAACATCAGCAGGATCGCGTCTCGTCAATATATCACTGCGATGTTCCGGTGCGGTTGGATATGCGTTAATTTCATTATCTGTCGCATTCCGTTGATTGTGTGGGCGATTGCGATAGGCATTAATTGCCCCTAGTGTAAATGCGCCCATTCCCAGGAGAATTTGGGGGTCTAGAAATTGTGACCAGTCCATCTAATGTAAAGAAGAAATACTACTGATGAAATATAAGTAATCAGAAATTTAAAAATCTCCAATACTATATATTAGGTTGGCTACTAAGTCATTGCCGATTTCAAATAAGAAGGCAAATTCGGAATTTTTGTTTAAAAATATAACTTTATTCAATTAGATGTTGGCCGTTCTTGTCGATGACCTTTTTCCATCGTTCTGGCAGAGTAAAAATTCCCCCTTCGTAAAATGTCTGGTCTTTGCTATTAAAAAACTGAATTAGGTGTAATCCGACATCATCCGCGTTGTTAAAAATTTTACCATTTAAAGAGTTTTGCATGGAACGAAACAAATGGTAATCCGAAGGCGCAAGGTCAGGGCTATATATGGGATGGGTGTGACAAAACATCCCAACCCAGTTCCAATAATTTTTGCCGAGTAACCAAAGATGTGTGGGGGGGGGGCCTTGCGTTATCACGATGGAAAACAACACCCTTCCGCCGATTTGATAATGCCGGCCGCTTATCTTCAATTGCATCCTTCAGTTTTTCGAGTTCTTCAACATACACATTTGAATTTATCGTTTGGTTCTGCGGCATGAGTTCAAAATACAAAATTCATTTGTGATCCCCCCACCAGACTGACAGCATAATTTTTTGTTTTTTGGTGAATCTCTGCTTTTGATACTGTTTGGGCTGGTTGATCTTGCTTCACCCATGATCTCTTGCGAGTAACNATAAACTATCCACTTTTCGTCGCCAGTAACTAGGTTCTTCAGAAATGGATCATTCTCATTGCGTTTCAGTAGCGGCGAATCACAGATGCTAATCCGTTGCGTCAAATGAATTTCCTTTAACTGGTGGGGGATCCATAAATCAAGTTTCTTGACATAACCAACGGTTTTTAATTTTTTCAATGCATGTATGCGACACATTGAGCTTCTCTGCAATATCTCGTGTTGTGCTGTGACGATTTGAATCGATAATGGCCTTGATATGGGTTTCACCCACTTCGACTGGGCGGCCAGATCGTTGTGAATTTTTCAGTGAAAAATCACCGGAACGAGATCTTTCAAACCAATTTCGACACTGTCTTTCTTTTAAGGCTTCATCTCCATATACGGCACATAACTTCTTTTGTGCTTGCGATGCGTTCTTGCCTTTTCGGAAGTAATACAATAAAATGTGTCGGAAGTGCACGTCCTGTTCTTTCATTTTTAAATTGGGATAAAAACAAAACTAAAGAACTAAACAAAAAAAAATTTTTACTAATTAACCTAGAAGCCCATACAGTAAGAAAAAAATATAGGTTAGATGCTCTGGCCACGTTAACAAAACAAAAGGAAGTATAGAGTGAATCTGTCAACAAAAACGGCAATGACTTAGTTGCCCACCCAATATATTGAAAATTAGTACTAATTAGGAAATGAAGAAACAAAATGATTTATAAACTAAAAATAAAAGTTATAATTTTGAAATAAAACTTTACAATGACACATGTTCACTCGCTTTTGGGATAAATTTGAAAGTTTCACAAGAAAGAGTACAAGTGGATAGTAAATACAGAATTTGCCATATTTAAATTGAATAGGCTATTCACGGGACTGGTGTTGTTCTTATTAATGGTCACCAACCATGCTTGGAGGTTCTATGAGGTGTAGTGAAACCGACTCCTGCTACCACCTTACATATGGCCTATTGTTGGTTATCATCATTATCCAGGACTCACTCATTATCGTGTCCGAAATTCCATTAGGTGACTGAATTCAATCTAAATACTCCTTTGGAATGTGAATGGAAGCAGAACATCTCCACTGGAAGAAGACAGGTCGTTAAAATCATGAGTTTGGACGAATTTTATTTGGATGACTTGTGGAGTACTCCATAAATTCTATGAGGACAAGATACCCTCTATTTTGTCTGCTTCGTCTCGACTGAGAAGTGCCAGATTTATTTGTGATCCAGCATGAGATTTACGTTTGTTCAGCAATTTTCCCATCCAGGTTTCTTGGAGACCTTTCCTCCGAGAAGTTAACCACTGATACCTCTATGTGGGCTTGTAGTAGCAAAGCCCTACAGTGAGTACGAACTTCATGGTAGAAGTGACAGCCCAACTTCCGATATCAAGGTGCGCAAACACATCAAACCGTCTGTCATGTTGCTGTCTTCTGCCCAAAGCCTCAAAAGACTTCCTAGCAACTCTCTAATTTATGCAGGTTTGTTTCCGTTGCGAAAGTTATAATCTTTCATGATTCAATTGAATTACATTCTTTATTAGTTCTGATTGCCGTCACGTATGTGAATGAAGAAGAGTTAGAGTTTTAAAAGTAGCACAATATGAATGAACAACTTCAATACATCTAATAAAAATTTAAACAATATTCTGCAGAATTTATCCGATAGTGATGGAATAGAATGAGGGGACGCTTGGTTAGCAAACTGGAAACACTTGACGGCAAAGTGAAGGTAATTGTACCCGGGTCGTCGTGTCTCACATAGCAATCGACAATCAATGGGAAGATCAAAAAATTGTTGCAATTTTAAGGACCTTTCAGAAAAGCGTTTTGCCTATGCTTCTCTTGTGTTTAGAGCGACTTCATGGACCCTCTCCCATGAGGGACTCGAATCTTGCTACTTTCATTTTAGTCCGATATACCCAATGCTGTTAGATAACCAAGTCCTGATCACTAACATGACCAATGGGCATGATTACCGATGTATAATTAATTAATTAATTAATTAAGCAGTCAATATTCGACAATTTATCATTGATAATTTTCAAAGGGCTCGGGTGAAATAGCTCTAGTATATTTATTAAATGACTTTCAGGTATAACAAAAAACTGTATTCTTTAAAAACGTCTACACTTCCGCTTTAATTTTTCGAAGGGATACAACCGCGCTGATTCAAATTACGATGGAGAAATAAGTGCAAAAACTTCAAATTTATGTTGCGGGATAGGAATGTAAATTTTAATGAGGGTGAATTTTGGTGGGGAACAATTTTGATAAAAGCAAAGTCGCTTGAACTCTTCCATCTTGCGTTCTCAACTTATTAACTACTTCAAAGAGAAGGCGATTTATTTTATATAATTTCAAATGACTTTAATTATTCAAATTGTCGTAATGTATCATTGTCTTTTCTTTAATTATTTTGGCCAAATGATATATTTTGTCAAATGTTCTTTAAATTGATAGAGAATGCATTATTAAAAAAATCTATGGAGTTATAATTGTGCTACCCATTATAATTAAATCAACATATTATTTTAATTAAAGCAAGCTAGGATGATGAATCGTCTATGGATAATTGATTTTTAATAGAGGTTAGTTAAGAGTTATATACTCATTAGATTAAAATATAACTAATTACATTCATTACCAACTTAATAATTACTGGGGAGCTAAATAGTCAACCATTACTCTTGCATAATGAATTGTGTATAAAATCAATGATTCCGCTAAACCTTAAAAAAAGAATTTTTAAATAAGTAGTAATGAGTTCGTTTTGTTATTTTGACTAATGCCTTCTTTGTTTCGTTTAGGGTAAATATTTTAAAATAGCTACATTCACCAATACTTTCAAAAAATTATTTTAACATTTAAGTGGCATTTAAGATTATCTAATTTTCAAACTAGAGGTTAACTTAGATTTGTTCTACTTATCGGGTAAAGAAACATACCACAGTTTCTCGTAACGTGCAATGGAATGCGAAATGTAAAAAAATTAATTAATACCAACTTAATTTAAATCATTTTATGGAATTTGATTTTGCCAATTTTATGCAGTGGATATATCACACAATTCTTCTAGCCTAGTATTCTTGAACTCCAGTAGTTAAAACTTTTATTCTAGGCTCCTTAACAAAGCCGTGACAAAGATGACAAAGGCGTATTGTCGGGTCGACCGATTCCGATGACTGCTTAGACTGACAGAGTTTTATTCTTCAAGAAAATAAGGAAAAGTCGTATTGCTGACACCAATTAACCTAAGAATTAAAAGTTTGCTTCAATGCCTTTCTTATCCGGATAACAAGTGTTCTCATTTTGGTTTTTTCCACCATATTTTCAATCGTGAGATGATAATTGAATTTATTTTTTATATTTCTAGCCTGGGGTGCGCGATAGACTTACCTCCATGTGGTGCACCCTGGGCAACGTATTCTCATACGGCTAAAAAGTCTATTAACCGACAGTTGACTTCTCACTTCAAATTACGAAACACTCTTCTCCTGCCCCCCCCTCTCGACTTTTTTCCCTTCGATGCTCGTTCCTCTCTATGAAGCCTGAAGTCAACTAAAGGGCCTGCCATTTGATATAAATAAATATATTTCTTGCCTACTTTGGAATAAAAAATGACGATTATATCAACTAGAATAGCACATTATGTGAATGGAGGAATTAAAATAGATAAATAATGATATCACATTTATATTAATGGAGTTTTTTAATTAACAAATTCTAAATAGAGTTCAGTGGATTAAATATTGACAAGTCTTCTTTTTAATAACCACTACAAATTTTAACGGTAATTTAGCAAGTCGAATTTACTTAAATATACAAAAAAGGAAGATATTTATTGGCTCAAATATAATAATTTAAATATTTTTCAAGGAAATTTTAGTTAGCAAATAACACTACCCTGATTACCAAGATACTTTATTGACTTTCCGATCTCTCTCAAGTCTATGTGAATCCAGGAAATTCAATAAAACTCACAATAATTTCAAGTTTGCATAACTGCTGGGAAGCTAGAATTTGTCTCGAAATATATTTTCATTTAAATTATATAAAAGTTAAAGGAAATATATTTAGAATTATAATTTCCTATCATAATTATTAAATAGATGACTTAAATTTTTTTCCTCAAAATTTGAATAATTTGATTTCAACAAAGCATTTAGAAGTACAAAATAATTTGAGGCAAATTTATTAAAGTATTTATTTACTTGAACTTTGAGGGTGATTTTTTGACGTTTGCACATGTATAAACAGTTTTAGCCAACGCATGCAAAACTGAAAATCC